TTGTCCGCCTTCTACGCTCGGTAATGTTTAACAGTTACGTGACTTTCGACGGCAGATTTTTTCGCCAGATTAAAGGTACTGCTATGAGTACTTCTGCAGCAGTTTTCTTCGCCATCCTGTTTCTGAGCTACCTGGATCTGAAACTCAGTCGCGTCATCAGTCACATACCAGCACTCCACCTTCATTATATCGACGATGGCCTTATCCTCTGGGATGCCCCCCCCTCTACTTTCGACGAATTTCGGCTCCAATTCAGAAAGCTGCATCAAGTTGACCAGTAGACTCTGGATTTCCTTGATATTACCTTCTTCAAGGGGAGTTGTTTTTCGAAGGAAGGCTTATTGGATGCGAAACTCTTCCAGAAGCCTATGAACCGGTGTCGTGCTTCTCCCATTTCTCCCATTCTCCTCAACTATCCTTCCTCCTTACCCTTCTTACCCCCTTGTCCATTCCGCCTCTTGTAGGTTATCACCGGTGCCGTGGGACCTAAGTGGAGAAATACGCTTGGGCAGCCTAGCGTATTGCGTACATACGCTAGCGTATAATACGAATACGCTGTACGCTAGCTAAGTACGCAATACGCTAGCGTATTTCTTGGCGGGCAGCCCGGCAAGAAATACGCAAAAAACGATGCGACAAATTTGCGACATGACGAAACCCCACAGGGATTTCGCCATGTCGCAAACCGAAATTTGGCTTTTCAAATCGTCAACCCAACCCCTTCGCCCCTCCCAACCACACAGCATCCCACCCAATCTGCGACTTCCAAACAACACCCAAAGAAATCTCCTTCCTCTCCCTCTCTACTCTACTCCAGCACGGTTCAGCGCAGTTCACTCCTACGACGAAATCAGGGTACAAGTAAACTGGCGCGCTAACTTCAGTCATTTCTTCTTCCAAGCTAGCGCGACTAGCTAGCTGGTTTTTTAGCGACTGTTGCTATGTCGAACCCTTCACCTAGTCCTGGTTCCCACGGAACCGACGCGGGAACCTCCTGTGCTGCGTCTTCCTCTGACGAGCTCCTGGAGAACTCCACCCACGCTATCTTTAAGCATTTCAAGTTTAAGCATAAGGAGCACGGCAAGCAGCAAAAGTATTGGTGCAAGTACTGCCCCGTATCCTTTACCGGGACGGCCTACCGCTGCGCACAGCACATCACTAGTTGGGATGGTATGCGTAGGCGCGAGGTTCGGAAATGCGAGGAGGTAGGGAAGGAGGAGCAGGCTGCCGTCCGCGCGTTCCAAACTGCCAAAGTGCTCGCGAGGGAGGAGGCGCATAGGGCGGAGGAGTCGGCCCTCGACGCCGTTAGTGGTCGAGGAAAGCGGAAGATCACCGATTACCTGTCCGATGACGCCCAAGCGGCCAAGGCGGCGGCGGACGAGGCTATTTGCCTCCTCTTTGCCGGCCTCCGCCTTCCCGAGCGCCATGCCGACCACCCGCTTTGGCGCAACGCCGTCCGGTCCATCGCGCGCGCGGGGACCAGCTATGTGCCTCCAAAGCGCGACTACGTGGGTGGTGCCGGCTTGCAGCTATGCCGCAAGCGGATTGACGAGGGATTGACGGGCGTCATGTCGAGCTGGAAGCGCCACGGCGTGACGATTGCCAGCGACATGATGACCGACAAGTGTGGCAGGCCGCAGGCGAATGTGATGCTGGTCAATGACACCGGCGCAGTGTTCGTCGAGAGTATTGACTGCAAGATGGAGAAAAAGACCGGGGGATACATCGCCCGGCTCCTCCGGCCCATCCTGCAAAAGGTTGGGGTCGAGAACATCGTGGCATTCTGCACCGATGGCGGCAGCAACTACCACAGCGCCTGCCGGCTCCTCATTGCAGAGAATCCGCGCATCGAGCATGTGCCGTGTGCGACGCACGTGCTCGACCTCCTTATGGAGGATGTGGGACGGCAGGCTTGGGCCAAGGAGGTAGTGGGGCGGGCGAGCGAGCTCATCAACTACACCCGCAGCCACCATTGGACCCGACAGTATCTCAGGGGTGTGGACGGAGGGAAGGGGCTGCAGATGCTGAGGCCGGCGGGGACCAGGTTTGGGACGCAGCACATTGCTGTGTCCCGCCTGGTGGAGTTGCGGTCAACGCTGGTGACCATGGTGCTCTGCGATGCATGGAAGGCGGAGTGGGCGGTGGGCCCAAAGAAGGCAGCTGCAGAGACATTCCACGACCAGATCATGGATAAGGACTGGTGGCCAGCGGCTGAGCTCTTCAAGAGGCTGCTCCTGCTCCCGTTCAAGGCCATGAGGGCGACGGATTCGGCAACGAAAGGGATGATGGGCCGCATCTATGAGCTGATGCTTGAGCTCACTGTGAATGTGGCAGAACTGCTGAAGGAGAGGGGGATGGGGTGTTGAGTGCGGGAGACAAGAAGGGCGTCAATGAGATTGTGAAGCGGCGTTGGGATGAGAGTATGGCTTGCCCACTGCACGTGGTCGGGCGGATTCTTAACCCGGTCAACCAGGAGGAGCGGATTTTTGGGCCGGACACGGAGTGCACCAATGTGTTCAAAGCTTTCATTGCCCGCCACTATGGCGGGGTGATGATTCCCCAGAGGGATGGCCTGCCCAAGCGTGCCACACTCCTCCTACAGGAAGGGTTGGCCGCCTTTCTGAAGTTGAGGGGCAGCTTCGGCACGGCTGAGGCCATCAGTGACCGGAAGTTGGTGAAGGAAGGAAGTTATTCCATGGAGGCGTGGTGGGAGTGGCACGGCACTGACCACCCCTTGCTCATGGCCCTTGCTTGCCGAGTGCTAACTCAGCCGGTGTCTGCATCCAGCTGCGAGCGCAACTGGGCGGTGTGGGATACTGTCCACACCGCCCGACGCAACCGGCTGGGTTCAGAAAAGTGCAAGGATCTGGTTTACGTTGCGCACAACTGGAAGGTTGTGCACAACTGGCACATGGCCGACGAGGGGGCGGGGGTGGTGTCCGGTAACATCCCGGACGCCCCCGTCCCTGCGGGGTACAGGGTGGATCGGGAGGAGGAGGATGAGGAGGGCGAAGATGAGGAGCTGCTGGACGAGTACCTGTAGAGCAGAGCAGGAGAGGGTTAGGCGGGCGGTTTGGGGGAGGCTTACCTGAGATGGGTGGTTGGCTGGTTGTTGGAGTTTGGAACCCTTGACATGCCCTTGGTGGCTTGAACTATTTATTTATTACCATGCTAAATGATGCCACATTTGGTGGGGAGAATTTGGTGCTCTGAACCCCCCCTCTTCCTCCCCAAACAGGTTTTTTTTACCCCTGCCCGAGTTGTTTTTATACCTGCCCGCCAGAGCGTATTTCCTAGCGTATCCAATCCCATAATGAAGCGTACAGCGTATATACGCTAGCGTATAATACGCTTGCGTATATACGCTAGCGTATAATACGCTTGCGTATAATACGCTGGACGCGTATTTCTCCACTTAGCGTGGGACCAAGCTCTTGTAGGTTATCACCGGTGCCGTGGGACCAAGCTCTTGTAGGTTATCACCGGTGCCGTGGGACCAAGCTCTTGTAGGTTATCACCGGTGCCGTGGGACCAAGCTCTTGTAGGTTATCACCGGTATCTGCGTGCATCTCTCAGCTGCGCTGTATGCAGATTCTCTAGCGCTGCCGACATCAACTTTTTTTTAAAGTACTCCCCTCTTCGCACAGCCGCCGCCGCCCATGCCTCCGCCGACTCTTCCTTCATTGACTCAGTGAGGAGCGTGGGCACATCCACGGGCAGCACTGGCTCTCTTCCGTACAGCAAGTGGTACAGGGACATGTCCGTCAGAGCTGATTGCTTTGCGAACCGATAGCCCGCCAGCACCCATGGCAGCTCAGCATCCCACTCTCTCTTCTTCTGCTCTCCATACACCCGCAATCCTCTTTAGATCGTCTGTATCATCCGCTCTGTCAACCCGTCGGACTGAGGATGGTACCGCGATGTCACTCTTTGAGTGATACCTACTTCTTTTAAGAGCTCTGCAAAGCTGCCTTGTAACTCCGTGACTTGATCTGTCAGCAACTCCCCGCATGCCCCAAATCTGGTGAGTACTTGGTCCAGAAATGCCTCTCGGATCAGCCCACTGTTCTTGCTGGCTATGGCCCTTGCCTCCACCCACTTTGTCGTATGCTCTATCATCGCGACAATGTACATCTTCCCTTGCCTGGACAACGGTAATTCCCCGGCCAGATCCAAGGACCACCTGAATCCTAAGCCGCGTATGTGCAGTGATTGCAGTCTTCCCTGCCCTTCTCCAGCACTGCCTTGTTTCGCTGGCATACCTCACACACCTGCACCCACTGCGCCACGTCTCTTCTCATTCCTGCCCACCAGTAGGTAGTGCATAGTAGCTGCCTTGTCCTGGCTCCCCCCTAATGCCCCAGCTTTTCGTGCACTTGCTGCACGATATTCTCTCTCACTTCTGGCTTAGGCACCACTTTCCATCCCTCCGTCGTGCGCAGCTGCATCTGACTCTGAAACCATCGATAGTGCCCTCCTCTACTCCTCGCCCTTGCAGTCACTGCTGCCGCATCCTCTGTCATTGCTGCTCCAATCCGTGTGGGGCGTCTTTCTTTGGCAGCTGCAGTACCGTTCCTGCTTTGATGGCCTCCAGCAAATCCCTTCTCGCCTGCTCCTCTTCCGGTTCCCACTTCTTGCCCCTCAGCAGCTGATTCAGCCTGTATGCTCTCTTGCTGAAGTTGGGGATGAAGCGCCTGTAATAGTTCAGGAACCCCAGGAGTGCTCTCAGTGCTCCCTTGTCTTTTGGTGCCCCGAGCTTAACTAGCACTGCCACCTTGGCCTCTTGAATCCCCATCCCGCATTGCACTTCAAATCCCAGGTAGGCGACTGTTCTTCTGGCTATCTTGCATTTTTCCAGGTGACAAGTAAGCCCTGCGTCTGCTATAGCGTCCAATGTCGCTTCCAGGTGCTCGGCATGTTCCTCTTCACTCTTGCTGAAGATCACCACGTCGTCAATGTAGCACGCTGCTGCTTGCACTGCCTTCAACGCTTGATCCATGACTCTTTGGAACACACGTTCCAACGTTCCTTAGCCCGAACGGCATCACGTTCCATTCGTACAGGCCGTCCACTCCATGAAAGGTGGTCTTGCCTTTATCTTCTATTGCCTCTCCTTGCTTTTCTTCTTGCGTCAGGTATGCTCGGCTTGCTTTGATAGGCCTACTGCTCTCTCCTGCTTGCTGCTGGCTCGACTCCCTTTTGTGCCGCTGCTGCATTATCTCGTTCAACAGCCACTGTGGTGCATGCTGATCCATTGCCCGCCCCAGGGTGGCCCTGCGCTCTTGCTCCTGTATCCCTCGTGCTGCTGTTGCCCCCGGTATGTAGCCCATTGCCAACTCCCGCTCGACCGACGTTGGTTCCTCCCGCTGCCTTCTCTCTCTGTCATAAACCATGCCTGGCCCTGGCTTGCCATCTTCCAGCACAAACCCACGTGCTCCCTCCTAGGCCACCAAGGTAGGCCAAGCCCTTCTCGGCTCGCCTAGCTTGTTGCATTGCAGCTGCTTTGGGTGGTCTCTCTTCTCTACAGGAGCCGACGTTCTTCCTGGCTCCAGTATGTCATCCACTAGGAGTTTTGGATCTCTCCTCAGGTCGGCTAGTCCTAGTCTCAGCTTCTCTGGCACTACTCCGTTTTGCCAATACCTTCTCACCTGATGTGCCCTTGCACCATTCAGTGCAGCATCCCAACTTATGCCTGCCCCTAGCTCCGCCACTACCTTCTCTTGCGTTGCTCTCACTGGTTCTCGCGGGTCCCATTCCATGTCTACATGCTCCACCACATAACAGCACCTTTTGATCCCCCTTCCTTGATCCACTTCAGCATTTGTAGAAGCTTGTCCAATAACGCTGTGCGCGCATCTCCCATTCTCCGCCCTTTTCCGGCTCTTGAGGTGCCTTGGCACTCCCAGCCCACCACCACCAGATCTATTGAACCCATCCCCATACAGTTGCCTCGTTCAGCTGACGTTAGACATGGGCAGCATGCCGAGCCTGGCTCGACTCGAACTCGAGCCAGGCAAAAGTCGAGCCGAGCCGACTCGGCTCGACCCAAGCCGGCAGCCCCAAAATGGTTGGCTCGACTCGAGGGTTCAGGGTCGAGCGCAGGGTCGGCTCGGCTCGTCGGGATTTTTTGGGCAAGCCGAAGTCGAGCCGGCTCGTTTTCGGCTCGACTGTCGAGTTGCGCAGCTAGGCCCCGGCTAGAAATCGAAAACCCATTTCTGGTTTTCGATTTCCAGTTACTCTAAGCGCTGCCTACGCCCACCACGCCAGCCGAGCATGCCTAAGCCCCATTAATCTCACTCCGTAAGTTCACTCAGACATTAACTAGAGTGTTTTAGGTTATCAGGGAAATTACGTTTTAAGGGTACACTAGCGATGGCGATTTCTGTTTAGGACCTAGATTTTCTAGGTCCGCCAAACACCTACTTTCTACTCTAGTCAAGAACGCTAACCATCACTACTCTGTCGAGTCGAGCCGAGCCGAGCCAAAGTCGAGCCGGTCCTTGGCTCGACCCTCGAACCCCGAGTCGAGCCAGCCATTTTCGGGCAGCCGGCTCGGGTCGAGCCGAGCCGGCTCGGCTCGACTTTTACTTGGCTCGTGGTCGAGTCGAGCCGAGTCGAGCCAGGCTCGGCATGCTGCCATGTCTAATGCCAGGCCATGCGCCTGGCCTTCGGATCTATCTCCACCAACGACCAATCGTGCTTCAGCGCTGCTGCTAATCCCGCTCCTATTCCTCCAAAGAGTTCCACTATCGTAATTGGCCGTTTCGCCCAGCGTTGCTCCTGCTTGCTGTCTCCGTGTTTCCATACTTCCCTTTTCGGCTGCTCTCGTGCCCTTCGCCATTCTCTCCTCCTTTGTTGCTTGCTGTAGCTCTGTGGCTTGCAGGGCCTTTCTTGGATCCATCTTCACAAATCGCACTGGCAGCTCTCCCTGCGCCCCGCCCTCCTTCCAATATTCGGTTCTAAAGATCAGCTTCTCTCCCCATGCATCGATTTGTGCTCCGACCTTGTAGACCAACTCCACAGGTCGTAATCCTCCGACTCGGAGAACCCGCACTGCACTCGAATCTGGGTTTCCTCCTTCTGTCACGGCAGCAGCGCGACCTCAACCGGCTGCACTCGAATCTGGATTTCAGCGAGTTATGGCGAACACTTTTTCGATCCACGAACCGAGCTGACTTTTTCGCTGCTTGTGCTCTCTTCTTTGCCCGTCTTCGCACCTGGGGTTACCCGGAACGATCCTTCTACAGATCTTCAAACGAGTCAGTTTTCTGACCGAACCTTCTCCGATGTGCCGCTGAACTACGGACCAAATCCGACCGTGTCCCCTTGGTCTTGAAGTGCCTCCTCAATCCTCTTGTGGAGCGCTCGGACCTCGGGCCAATTTTGAGTCGACTCAAAATACACCTGGACAAGCTGACACAGGGTTTATTCTCCAGCCAACATGCTTTAATCGCATGGAAGCTGCCAAAGAAGATCAAGGATTTTATAGTCGCCGCAAGAAAATGCTAGTTTAGTGTTTCGATTTTGTTACGCTTATCTAGTTTATTGCTAGGCCTACAGTGGCCCCTCCTCGGGGATGGTGTGGACCCTCGAGATTTTCTCGGGTCGCACTTCCACTATTTTAACAGCTCAAGGCTCTGATGTTCAGCAGATGCTGATGAAGGCTTGTATAAGCCGAAACTAGTTCATCACAGGTTTTCCATCGAAAACTTTTCTGAGCATCCCTACAGCTCGAGCTTTTTTTCAGAACCGTTGCCTCGCAAGGCTACTACCACACGGTTAACCCAGAGAAATGTGGGTCCGTTGGTCTCACTAGTGAGATTTCATAGCAACGTGCTTCTGTTCATGTACAGCATTGTCGTCACACACCATTTGGGTATCACCAGGCGGGCACGTACAACAATGGCATCGCAGCTGCTGGTAACAAGCTCCCTTCAATTCCTAGCCTAGTCGAAGCCGTTGGTCAACAATGTTTCAGAGCCGTGATTTGCAGTGTGAGTTGCAGGTGGGAGCGGTGGGGTGCACTTGACTCACAGTTCCGAGAGGGACCTCAGCCGTGAGATGGACACTGGGATGGATCCTGACAGCTTGTTGTGGCTCAGGTCCCTGCCATGAGAGAGGGAGCAGGGGGCGTTTGGGGGGGGGGGGGGGGCAGGGAGAAGGGCGAGTGAGAGGGCGAGAGTGAGAGTGGAGAGGGATGCTCAAACACATGCCAGGCGAGTGAACGCGCATCATGTTAGGCATGAAAGGGGTAACGAGGTGGCGCACCCTAGGCACCAGAGGATCCGTAGCCGCTGCACCTGGTGGACCCCCTCCAAAACGCTTGAGGGGGAGTAGAGAGGGAGAGAAGAGGTGACACCGCCTCTCCCCCGGAGCAGTGTGGCTGTGTGATGTGACGTGACTGTGGCCCGAGGAGAGAGCTCGCTGCTCTGTTCAGATTCCTTCCTTCCCAACTGGGCGAGGGAGGGGGAATCCATTGAGTGCAGAGAGGCAACTCACATGTAAGAGAGGTCCGATCCGCCAGAGAAGTCAGGGATGGAGCCCAAACGTGCATTTCAAGATTCGTGTGTATTGAAGAAACGATAAGGTGTGGAATGGGGCCATGGGTTGTTCAGACATTTGCACAATGTTTGCATATGTGCTGCACACGTCACGTCAAGTGGAAATGACAGCGATGTGATCTTTATCCAGATTCTATGTAAGGTTGAATTTTGGAACAGGACATTCCTGAAGTGGAAATGAATTTGAAACAGGACAATTCCGAAGTGGAGAGAGTCAGCTCTGTTCCTAGCAGCATGCCCCCTTCACCCTCTTCCCATCTCCCTCCAGCACCTCACAGTCCCGCGTTCACTTGGCTCACAGGGTGTCTAATGACGAGGGCAGGGCAGCAGGCACGGGACCAGTGAGCCGGTTGTGGGAAAGATCTCTGGAGACAAGCAAAACAAGGGGGAGGGGGGAGGGGGGAGAGGGAGGGGGGGGTGTGGGGGTGGGGGAGGGGAGAGGGTGTCAGAGAAAGCTGTCTGGATAGGATGCGGGAACCAATGGTGGAGACGTTGGAGAACATGCTCAAGGAAGCCTGCTGAGGAGGAAAGGCCTTGGCTGTTAGATCATTTCAACATAATTGCATGACATAATGGACTGAAGCACGTGAAGTCAGCCGGTTGTGAGAGAGATCCCTGGAGAGGGGCAGGGCAGGCAGATGAAAGAGAGCAGGCGAGGAATGCGCAGAAGCGCACTCAGTAGTGAAGGTGTCCATTGTTGGTGGAACAGAAGCACGTGAAGTCAGCCACGTTCCAACAGTGCGCACTGCGCATCCCCTATTCCTCATCCCAAAAACCTTTCCCCTCCCCTCCCCCTTGGCTTACAAAGTTACCACCGATGAGGGCAGGACAGCAGGCATGGTACCAGTAAGCTGGTTTGTGTGAAAGATCCCTGGTGACCGGTGCAACCAGGGGAGAGAGGCAGAGAAGGCAGGTGTGTGGGTTTGGGGAACCGGTGGAGTAGACATTCAAGAGCCATGATCCTGAGTCATGAGTGGCGATTCTTGGTGCTACAGGCACTGTCCAGTGTGGTTTCAATGTAAATGTTTGTATGGTGATGAAATCACCAGAAAATGCAGAGATTGAGGTCGAATTTCACTGGCATGCGTCCTCAGACATAATTTGAATTGAATGCCAACGGGCATGCCACCTGTGGTATTCCCACAACAGCAAACATTTGCTTGTTGCGTTTATATGGGCCAGCCATCCTGAGGTGTGACATGGCCCATGGGCCCGCATGGGCGCGAGGCTGAGAGAGCAAGGCAAGCACAGCCCAGCTTAGCTGGTGAAGCACCCTGCCTGGCACGAACTACTACTGGGGCAATTTGAGCCACGTATTGGTAGATATGAGGATGCCCCTCGTGCGGGTGAAGTCCCAGAAGAAGAATGTGCCCCTCGTGCGGATCCCGCACCATCACATTTGAAGGATATGTAGGAATTTGGAGAAGAAGCAGCAGATTTCAAGGCATGCGTACATACGTTTCTAGGCACATCAAAAATAGACGTACAGATCAATGAGGCTGGTGAGTGCAGAGATGGTGCTGGGAAGAGAACCAGTGAAAACCATTGCCACTTGCAAACCTGACCGGCAGGAGAATCACAACATTCACAGTTCCAGAGGCACGAAAGAGTAACTATCGAAACAGTGTGTTCGCTAGTGGAACGGCCTTAGCACAGCCCAATATTGGCACTAGAATCCCGCTAGCTTAGGTGGAATCAAACCCAGGTCCTTTTTTTTTACCTTTGGAATAAAATTGACTTTCTTGCGTCGAGTCGCGCTGCCTGTCGACGGGCTGCACTCAGGCCCGCCGGCGGGATTTTCGGTCCATGGGCCCGAGGAGGTCCGAGGTTGACCTCGACGTTGTCAATTTGTGCGGGCTGCAGGCCGGCCCAGCCCAGCCCGACGCAACGGGACGGGCTGGGGTCTAGCGGGGCCCGAGGCCGGCCAAAACTGGGCTCAGACTGGGCCGGCCCGACCCCGGCCCACCCTCTGAACATGCCTACCTAGATCCACGTTTAGTCACAACATTCGCAGGTCCAGATTCCCTACTTGCTCTGTTTCATTCCATTCATCAACAACACCACGCACCCTGCCATTGCACACACTACTGTGGTGCACATGAGATGAGAGGTGCATATGGCTCACAGTTTCTCCAGCCTTGAGAGTGCTGTTATTCCCGAGGGAAACGGTGAGGGGAGCGCTTGAATGTGGGGAGTGGACTCAAATCCCTGCAAGGACAGAAGTCATGATGAGGCGGAATTTGGAGAAACATGCTTGCAGAGTGCAGCTGACACAGAGTACCGACTTGCGTACAGGCAAGACACAAATGACTAGAGAGAAGACAAATGGTATCTAAGGCAGCGCATGTGATGAATAGGAATTGCACTTGCACAGCGCTCAGGCTTGAAAACATGTGCAAGGGAGCCAAAACAGCCTTGGAAACATGTGCACGGGAGCCAAAACAGCCTTGGAAACATGTGCACGGGAGCCAAACAGGCTTGAAAACATGTGCACAGGAGCCAAAACAGGCTTGAAAACATGTGCACAGGAGCCAAAACAGGCTTGAAAACATGTGCACGGGAGCCAAAACAGGCTTGAAAACATGTGCACGGGAGCCAAAACAGGCTTGAAAACATGTGCACGGGAGCCAAAACAGGCTTGAAAACATGTGCACGGGAGCAAAAACAGGCTTGAAAACATGTGCACGGGAGCCAAAACAGGCTTGAAAACATCTGCACGGGAGCCAAAACACGCTTGAAAACATGTGCATGGGAGCCAAAACAGGTTTGAAAACATGTGCACGGGAGCCAAAACAGGCTTGAAAACATGTGCACGGGAGCCAAAACAGGCTTGAAAACATGTGCATGGGAGCCACAACAGGCTTGAAAACATGTGCATGGGAGCCAAAACAGGCTTGAAAACATGTGGTGCTGAGCCCCCCCACACTTTCCACCGCCGCCCCCCTCCCGTCTCCCAATAATGTTTTCATACATAGTTTTTCTGACCAAGCACTTCCGTCGACATTGCTGCAGCATAGATTACGATCTACTAAGCTAGGTGCACTACCTGGGTTCAGAACGGATTGGGAGATAAATAAGCTAGTGCAGCTAGAGTTAGGGAAACTTACGACCTCCCTCCAGTGAGTAGAGGACGTAGCAGAGGGGAGACGAGGGATGGGCTTGCTAGATGGAGTGGGATGGGATGCGGTTGGGAGAAAACTGGGGTTGGGAGTTGACTTGTCTTGTCTCCCCACTGCCAAGTTCATGATATGGCAAACCTTCTGGTAAGAATCGCCAAATCGCGAAATGTTGCAGGATCTTGAAGAGAAATGACTCGGCGGGCTGCCCTAACCAGCGTTGGCATCATTCTTGGAGTGTTTCACGTTCAAATGCTAAACGCTTGACTGCCCGGGCTTTTCTTGCAATCTATCTGAATGAGAAGGAATGTGAGCACCTGCACACATGATGACACATGGTGCTATAGCTCTTCGAGCATGGATGGCCTGATGGAAACAACAAATTCACACCCCCTACTCATGCCGCCCATACAGGTATGTGAGTGCAGTGAGAGTGGAGAAGAAGGAAGGGAGTTCTCCAGTAGTCAGATTGAGACCTTCAAGGGATCTGGTGGGACGAGACGAGAGAGGGGAGAACGGGCGACAGGGAGGAGAGGGGTGAAGACAACAAATAGACACAAGGGCAAGGCATACGGGAGGCACAGGAGGGCCTCTCTGATGACTTACAGGTGTTGCAATCGAGAGAGCGTGGAGAGGTCGTCCACTGGCCCAACAGGGTTGAAATATTCAAGAGAGCTGCAGCAAGGGGAGATGGAAGGGGAAGGGTTGTGGGGGGGGGAGCGAAACTCGTTTGGTTTCTATTACCAGCTTTTGGTAAACGTGTATGGATTTGTCATGCCATGCCACAATAGCTCTGTGGTAAAGCGCTGCCCTGCCCCCCCCTTCCCATGCAGCAGTCAACATGCATATTGTCGGTGCGCTGTCATGCCATCAGCTGCCAGCACATTCGACCACAAGTGAGGGAGAGGAGGGAAGTAAGCAGAAGTGGTGTAGCGATGATAGAGAGAGCACAGGTTAGTGCAGGTAAGCGGGAGGTAATGCAGTGCAGCAGAAGTGGTGCAGCGATGGTGCAACTGGGAGGGAGGTAAGGCCAGTGCAGTGGCAAATAGGTACGTGTAGCAGCGTGCGGGACATACAGGTAGGAGAGCGCAGTGAGTCGACTGAAGGTGGATGGCAGGTTCCTGGATCGACACGCACATTCACACACAAACACGTAAAGGCAGCCGTAAGCTCACACAAACACCAAGAGGTGCAGGCACACACAGCATACGATAGGCGTGAGCAAAATTCCGAGTTGTCTCGGTCAAACCGGCCAAGGGAGCTCGACTAGCCGCGAGCCGCTCACCAGCTCACCCGTGCCGCTCACACACAGGCACATGCACGCCCACGCCCTAGGACAAGATCGTATTCTACAAACACCTTTCATTAAGCATGGCTAAGTTGCTGCCACGTAAAGACCAAGCACCAGAGTGGTGTTCACTCGCACAAACAAACACACACACACACACCCTAGGACAAGTATGGTCTAGGTTGGAGTAAGTCAGACTTGCCGGACTATATTGCACTAGGTCGGGCAACAGGTTGGGTCGGGTCGGGTCGGGACGGGTCGACCCGCGACCCAACATTTCCCTTAAATTCCCGACTTCGGGCATGATCGGTCTGTATTGAAGAAGCGGCGTACACAGAGTAAAAATCAAACTAGATCTCGATAGGACTGAATCGGACTAGATCGGTCCGCATCACGCAGAGTAGAGTGTGGACTGGATTGGACTAGATTGGGGAAGATCAGACTTTCTTAGACTAGACAGGGCTTGACGAGCTGTATTGTAGGTGTTCATATTCATGGAAACCAAACTCTCAACAAACCAGTGCTCTAAGGTGCAATTGGATCCGTCAATCTTGAGTAGAGGGGGGGAGATAGGCTCAGAATCCTGTAAGGGTTCGGCGAAATCGATTCCGGGGTCAACACTCTCGACATTATGTGCGAATATTCCTTCCCAGGCTTGAATCGTTCTGCCCGTCGACAGGCCGCAATGGCGGCCCGACATCGTTGCCCGTCAACAGGCCACCGGAGAAGACAAGCCATGGCCGGCGCGGCCCATCGATACGGTCTAGGCCGGGTACAATCCCGTCCGTGAACCGGCTGAGACTGGCCAGCACGACCTCGGACCGGCCCTCTGCACATGCCTACCCTGAACTGAACTGTGGTTGTCAATTGTAAACATGGGCTTCGGTTCAGGTGGGCCGCGGGGGGGGGGGGGGGGGGGGGGGGGGGGGGTATGTTGGGAACTTCGTGTGAGCGCGAAGGACTCCAGGCGAGGGCGTTTGAAAATGTATGGCAGTGCGTGTAGGAAGCTGGGTGACATGGTGGAAGCTAAAGGTAGTTATACGGATGAGGGTGACAGCGTACATACGAGTTGGACTCTGGGGCCAACTGACATTCGGGTTGTGGGTGAGTGGTTGTATGGCAGAGGAAGAGACACAAGGGGAGTTTTCTAGAGTGTGCTGCGATATCTTATGTGGTTATTTCTATGACGACCGAGAGCTCTCATGAAGTAGAAGTGATGCTACTGGTGTGATGTGAAAAACGGTGATATTCGTGACATGTGAACGAATGCTTTTTCAATAGGGCGTGATGTTCTGGCGAGCATTCTCACACATTATTTCTTTATGTGATACTAGTTAGGAGCTGTTTACACACACGAGCCGGGGTAGGCACGCGAGCCGTGCCGGCTCCTCTCAAAGCCCCTCTCAAGAGCCGTGAGGAGACTGAAGGTGGATAGGGAATAGGTCATGGGGCACCACTCTTACATGGGTGTGACGTTGGTGGCAGCACCGGGCTCGGGGAAAAAGATATCAGAGTTGCTCAAGCCACTGCCATGTGCGGTGGTGGGACAGGGTGGCATTAATATGGCCCGAACAAGGAATGCACACCCATGCACGCATAAGGCCAACAATGGAGACTGTGGGGGGAGGAAGGGATCGTACAGTTTCTGCAGGGAGGGCAGAACGCCGAGAAAATCCAAGCTGCCTTGCAGCGAAGAGCTCCAAGTCATGTCGCTGCAGGTGGGAGGGGTGAACGGCCACAATCGATACGAGGGAGTATCTTGACAGCACGTGGCAAGGTAACACAATGAGCTCAGGAGCGCAGTGGATGCAGCGGGGCATGCAGAGATCTTCTGACGGAGCAAAGCATCCAGTGGGGTGGGGCATCATGGGTGCATATGGGATGGGTGCACATGGGCTGTGTTCATCTGGGTGAACGGGGATGGCATGGCTCTTAGTTCATGAGAAACGACCAAATCAGGATTGCGTTGGCATGGCTGGCTCACAGCTCTAGCAGGGAGGTGAGGTTCCTGAATGCGTCTGTGGGGATGGAGCCCGCCAGGACGTATCCCTCTATGTTCCTGAGTGGTACGCAGGGCAGCAGGTGGTAGAATGAGGGGGAGGGGCAAGAGGGGGGGAATGGCAAATGTTAGTGCGTACGAGGTCACGTTTTGACAATTACAAATATTTGATTGATGAACGGGCAGCAACGATTTTGACAGGGGAATTTTTCACAAACTAGGGTGTCTACCATGGTTCTAACGTTTTTCCTAGTTAGAATGCAGGAGACTCGAGTTTTCTTTCTCTTGGCTCTTTCTCCCTTTGTTGGGTACGCGTACGTCATTTCAACCGAAAAAGAAGGTTCTTTGGGCTGCAAAGGTTTAGATGGCAACGCCAACACCCCTGGTCTCCCAATCCCCCCCCCCCTCCCCCCTTCCCCCCCAAAAAGCTGCAAGCAACAGCTTCCCCAGGGAAGGGCTCACGTCTCGGTGCAGGGCTCACAGTTTGGTGACCATGCCGTGGGGGCCGCACATGACGCCCATCCAGTCAGAGCACAGCACTGCCCTCTCGCCCAAATCCCACACCCTCCTTTCCCACGCCTCGTCCAGAGTCCGCAGTGCTCCCACTGGCGGGCATGCGCGGGAGGAATGGGGACGAGGGGAGAAGGCGGAGAAGAGGTGTGCTGAATAGAGGGAAGGAGAGGGAAGGAGAGGGAAGGAGAGGGAAGGAGAGGGAAGGAGAGGGAAGGAGAGGGAAGGAAATGGGACGAGGGGGAGGAAGGAATCGTTTCCAGTATCGTGGTAACCGGTGACGCTTGTATCGAAAATTCGGTCACATTGCGAGGGTGCGAGCTTGATGCCGACGGGCGCTGCTAACGCGGCCGCTGATGCATGACGCATGCGACGAGCGACGGTCGGGCGACGGCCCGCGACAAACGAGGCAGCTCGCGACAGCGTTGGTGCTTCCAGCCTGTTACTACTACGGGCGTGGACGGTGGGAGAGAGAAGCAAGGCGAGCAGCAGCGCGCAGCGAAGGCAGAGGTCGAGGGGGGTAAGCGGCGGATTCAACGCCATGATGCTTCGAGTCCGAGAAAGCGCGCGATATGTGGACCAAGAAACGGAAAGCCGATGACAAGATGTCAAATCTTGGAAATAACAAATGCTGAGAGCTGAAAGATGAAGCAAGCGTCGGGAGAGTAAAGCACCAGCGGAGCAGCCGCGGAGTCGAATCTTGGAAAGGGCGACAGCACGGCTGTAGTTCCATGGGGGCCGAGCAGCTCGGTGCTGGGCAGCCAGATACGCCATGACTCGGAAGAACTAGCAAGACCTACATGAGGATTCGTGGATGATGGACGAGCACGCAACAGGGCCAATTTCCACATCCCTTCTCGAGTGTGGCACTAACATATTGTTACACCACAAATACAGAGTTATTCCTTACGTGGCTTATTGCATCGTATTCGCTCGAACTTTTGTAAGTCCATGCTAGGTCCACTTACGTCGCCACTCCGGGGCTGAATTCCATCACATCTGAGCACTTTGACTATTCATTTACCCATCTTAGGCTTTTGAGGCCCTCGCCTAGCCGAAATGCTTGTCTACTAGCACTTGGTATTAGAGCCTACTATTACGATAAGGAATCTATTGCATTCCTGAAAGTGACACTCGAGCCTTAACCCTTGTCGAGTCCAAGCTTATGACGCGAAGTACGAAGTGCAACGGTCGTTGACCGTTGACCGACAATCGAACCGACAGAAGTTCAAGGGTCCGTCACGACAGCAAGGACACAAAACTGACCTTATAATACCGCGCAAGCAGTTACCCGAGCCGTGTGCAGTTATCCGAGTCGGATCTGGAGCCTCATAGGGAATGTTAAAATGACTAGAACGCTAGGAAGCCATGGAATGGCACGAGGGTTTAGCTAGGAGAAAGTTGACGAGAGAAAAGAGATCGAGAATAGAAGAGAGGGATACACGGAAGGGTTGTTCTACCCTCTACAGTCAGTTTCAGTAACGCCTACCAAGCCTACAATTATATAACATATATAATTTGACACACCCCCTAGGCTTCGAAGTAAAAGTATCCATACACACTGGACACTAAGCCACACCCACCCCCTAATTCAGGCACCCCCATACTCAGCCGCAGCGACAACTACACCAGCTCGGTCGACCCCTCGGTGCGTGAGGCGGCAACGTCGACCGCAGGGGCTGCGGCGGCGGTAGTGTCAACCAAGGTCTCAGATATCAGACGAAATCCGTCTGATGGTCTGAAAATCAGACCTGTTTTTTTGCTTTCATCTGATTTTTTGACCGGGTGAATTATTTCATCTGATTGTCCATCTCAGTCATAAGATTTCGTCTGAAAGTTCAGACTTGGTGTACTTTTTCGTCTGAAATGTCAGATAGCGCGTATAATTTCGTCTGACAGCAATCACCCCTTATCCCACTGTGCCAATGGGTCACCTGCCCGATGGCCCACACTCTGCCATCTTGGTCCTGGTCGGTGGGCAGGTGCATTAATTTCCACGCGCACCGCGATGGCCAGCGCATAGTCACGAAATGAAATCGGCAGCAACCTGACTCAGGTTGCTGCCAATCGCTCGTCCGACAGTGCGTCACTTGCACGGCTGCCAGCTTCCTTGCATCTTGAAGCTGGCAGCAATGTGCCAGCGCACAGTGGTGCGGCCAGGAAAGCCACCCACCGCGAGCCAGCAATGCAAAGCTGTTTCGTAGCCATGCAGCAACCTCGCTCGCCATGCTACAGCTCAGCGAGGCGCCTGGTCGTAAAGGCACCAAGGGAAAAGCCTCGTAGCCACTTGTCCTGCTCCACCTCGTTCTTCCAGCCCCCTCAGCATGGCTCCAATCTTGCTCGGCGCACACCCTGCCTAGACGCCCTCTAGCTCTGTGGCTAGACAGCGATGGCGTCAGAGAGAGCGCAGTCGATCCCCTCCCCAGTTAGGCAGTCAATAGTAGGCTTGGAGCCCCCTGGCTCAACCCCTCCGCTTGTTAGTGGTCTAGATCTCCTCACTGGCGCGCAGAACCGAGCCGTCAGCGGCGATGCTCCGGTTGCAGCCGTGGGTGAAGCACCTCCGTCGCCTCTCCCACCCTTAGACGACGAGCCGTGGGTTTTCTTTGACAAAGAAAACTCTACGTGTGATGCTCCAACGTCGCCTAACCCGTCGTCAACACCTGGCTGCTCAACCGTGCGAGCCGTCTCCCCTTCACGCGTGACGCGCGGTCCTGTCCTACCAGTTCGCGCTCCTGGCAACACGTATCGACAGCGCAAGCTTACGTTTGGCGCAATGGCGCAGTCGTTTGGCCGACCAGCGGTGGCTCAGTCTACACCCTCTGTCCAGGTGCAATCCCGGTCTTCCGAAGCGTCTCCCGCCGACTCCGACGACGACGATGGTCCCTTTCCCCTCACAGTCGCCGAGCTCCAGTTGAAAGCCAAGGAGCACTGGCAGCGGTATTTCCCATGGCTGCTGATTTCCGAGACCTCTGAGGGGCGTCCATGCATGAAGTGTAGCATCTGTATAGGGTACAACAACGACCCCAACTACCAGTATGGGCGCAACGGCGAGGGCGGCATCGACATACAGAAGCAGACGATGCGCAAGCACCACCACAGTCAAAAGCACAAGGCGGCGATAGCACGGAAGGAGGAGAAGGATGGCAAGAATGCGAAACAGAAGTCCATCGTCGACTTCGAGAACGGGAACGATGAGGCAAAGCGACTGAAGCGACTCATGGCGATTGTGATGTTCCTCTGCAAGTCTGACGCCCCCGTTGTGTTGTTTGTGTCACTTGTCCAGTTCATGGCAGAGCAGGGAACACCAGACCTACCCGTGAAGGACAACGGTACCTACCAGAGCGAGTAAGTGTTTTACGTGATACCAACCCGATATACTGTTGATTTGTTACGTGCTTTCTAGAAGGCTGAAACTGTACTATTATGCATGCGCAGGTACGGTTTCAATCAGGTGGCCGACAACATCGTCACTTACCTGCGAGCTAAGCAAATGACCCACATCAGTGCTTCACCATTCTTGGGCATCCAACTCGATGAGTCAACCGACCGCCGGCGGGGTAAACATATGATTGTTTACCTTACCTTCCTCCGCGACACGACGGTGGTGACAGAGTTCTTCGGGCATCTCACCGTCGAGAAGTGTGACGCCGCATCTCTGCAGGCCATTCTACTCACCCACCTCGAGTCTCGGGGCGTCGAGCTCAACAAGATTTGCGGCATCAGCACCGATGGAGCCAGTGTGATGACGGGTGCGCAGGCAGGCCTCGTGGCTAGGCTACGCACCCGTATTCCACACCTGGTTTCCTGCCACTGCATCGCGCATAGGTGATTCTAACATTCTATAACAATGCATGTTTTAAAAGATTATTTCGAAACTAATAAAGTTTTTCTGTCAATCTGCAGGGAGGCTCTTGCTGCCAAGGACACTGCAGATGATTTCCCGGACTTAGGCATCGTCGACAAGGTCGTGCGGTCACTGGCCGAGGTGCTCGGCCGGTCCATCGTCGTACACAACCGTTTCAAGGAGCTACAGGAAGTCGTCACTGAAACTAACCTCGAAATGCAAGGCATTCACCAGATACGTTGGCTTAGTCGCGGTGAGGCTATCCAACGGCTTGTTGATGTGTTTCCCGCGGCCATCCTCCTGCTGTACGAGTATGATAGGAAGATGTATCACGTAGTTGTCTCGTTGAAATTCCATTTATTGCTGTACTTTCTGGCGGATATGCTGCTGGAGCTGAACACGCTCAACCTCAAGTTCCAGCGTCGCCAGGTAAGCCACATGGTGTCATGTCGTCGGTTTTAGGAGAGTGATGATTAACGAGCAAAACCATCTCCCCTTTCTGTCTTTGTATGGCAGGTCGACGTCACCCAGGTTCTTCGGATGGTCGACAACACTGTCGTTACACTGCGCGCACGCTACGTAAATTACAACACACAGTTCGGCCCACCTGACGGGGACTTCGCCGACTTTCTGCATCTGTACGCGGGGGGCGAGGACGTGACGATCGAGGGGATTGATGCACACGGGGCGCCGACTGTGCACACATACACTCTACACACAAAGCCGCTGGATGGGCAGCGGAGCAACGGGGATCTGAAGTCGCTACAGCAGCTCGCCACGGACGTCGTCAACGGTGTCATCAACCACCTGCAGGGATGCCTCAAGGATCTATCGAAGCTCAACGGCACAAGACTTTTCAAGCAGACGATGTACCCGAAGTCCACTGCGAGGCGCCAGCGGAAGTTTCTCGAATGGCTCCAGTCTCTGCGCGGCCTCTACAAGCGTGATGCGTCAGCGCCCGACACTCTACCGGGTGAGTTCCAAGGGGTTGTAAGTGTCTCCATGGCTCGGGTGTTTTCTGGTTGAGATATTTAACGAAGGCTTCTGTGCCTCTATTTCACCCCCCCTTCAGGTGTCCATTGGGGCAAGGCGAAGGCCGAGCTCGTCAGTTTCACCACCATTATGTCGACACACAACGACGAGCTGGGCTTCCACGATGCGCTGAAGAACGTGCTCTCCACGCCGGACTGGATGACTGCCTACCCCGATTTGGTTCTCATCTGGATTGCCTATGCCGTGCTGCCGCTCAGCACAATGGAGTGTGAGCGCGGGTTCAGCCGCCAGAACGTCATCAAAAGCTGGCAGCGTGGCAATCTCGGTGATGCGAAGCTAGGCCACTTGATGACGGTGTCGCTGCTCGACTACCCGATGGACTGGGGGAGTATGGTGGCTAGCTGGCGTGGAACGAAGAAGCGGCGACCTGCCAAGGAAGTTGTCATGGATCAGACCGCACGGCAGGTGAAGCGGCCCAAGACGTCGGCGGCATTGAAGGCGGCAAAGGCAGCAGCAAAGGCAGCAGCAGAAGCAGCCATGCAGGCAGAAGCGCTAGCAGCAGCAGAAGCAGCCAGAGTGTTTGAAGAGGATGGTGCGGCTGGCCCAATCTGGAGGAGGAAAAGCAAGGGCAAGAAGGTGCAAGTCTCAGAGAGCGACAGTGATGATGATGACATCGAGGAGGTCGGAAGTGATAGTTCAGACTCCGAGTAGGCAGATGATGGTATGGCACAGCATGGTTTAGTATAAGGCTAATTCCTAATGTAGGTTGTGGTAGTGGAGCATCAGTAGCACTAGAGCTTTTTCCAGCTATTCTTAGCATATACGGTAGATGCAATTTCAATGGATGCTAACGACGTGTAACAGTTGTTTGTGTAGCAATATAATGTAGCACATTCGGCATTGTTATATACTGAAACTCCCGCAACGTTTCG